AGCCCCTCCCCCAGCCAGCCCTCCCTCCCCGCGGGCAGGGTCGCCGGGAACGTCCCGGACAGAAGTCAACGTGAGACAGAGGGCACCGAGCGCGAGGGACCCTCGGGCGTCACTCACAGTCTTCTCCGGAATACAGGACCACGGACTGAGGCGCGGGGCCGGCGCCCAGGTGGTTGACGGCTTGGACCTGGACCTCGTAGGGCGCGTAGACGGCCGGAGTCATCACCCGCAGGCTGTGCTCACGGACGGTCTCCTCCTCCCACTCGCCCAGGGCCCCCTGCGGCTTCCAGGCCACCCGGTACTCCAGCCCCGGCCCGTTCTGCTCCAGGGATTTCAGAGGCTAAAGCGGGAGGCAGGACGTGTCAGTGACACACAGGGACTTGCTGAGCCGGGGCGGCCACAGTCCCCCCGGGCCACGCGATCAAGGCCGCGCATTTGAGTAACACTTTCCCGACAGGGCTGTCCGCAGAATTAGATATAAACACACAAAATGCTAGTGGTGCTTAAAGGGGGTGGCNCAGTCCCCCCGGGCCACGCGATCAAGGCCGCGCATTTGAGTAACACTTTCCCAACAGGGCTGTCCGCAGAATTAGATATAAACACACAAAATGCTAGCGGTGCTTAAAGGGGGTGGTTATTATCGGGGAGTCATTCTTTTATACATAATATAATTAAAACAACCTGAATAATCTTTAAATCATCAACCGCTGTAAAAGTCCTCCACAACATGGAAATCCCAATGATTTTTAACACATACAAATAAAATATATTTATAAAACATGATAATATAACCTAAATATCTCTTTTCTTAAAAACTACTGTCCTATCCTTACCCTCAGCAAACAAACCTGAGAGAGAGAAGGGAAAACACAGGGAAACACAGTCGAGGACACGCACCTCCCACTTTATAATCATTTCCTTGGGCTGAGAGGCCTGTACCCTTATGTTCTGTGGATTCTTGTCGGGAGCTGGAAAATTAAATGCATTCCAATTATAATATTTTCAACAATAAAGATAAATTTAAAATTAAATTATTTTTGCCATTGCATGGTCCATAGATAAATCAANAATGCATTCCAATTATAATATTTTCAACAATAAAGATAAATTTAAAATTATTTTTGCCATTGCATGGTCCATAGATAAATCATCAGGCTCCCCCCTAGCAAATAAATATAGTTAAATAACTTTGATATATTTATTAAATTTCTACCAAGCTCGGTGCTATATCCTTCTTGACAAGACAGTGCAATTTGAATATTTGGTGTGTTGCTAATTTACAAAACTTTTCGAGCTCTGTATGGGGAAAAATCTAAAACCCTAGGCCACTCTAGCAATTCTTTTTAGAGACAGTCAAAGACGGGCCAGACTTGCCCGGCCAGCGTGGCTCAGCAGTTGAGCGTCAACCTAGGATCCAGGCGATCAGGGTTCGACTCCCCATCAGGCACATGCCTGGGTTTCAGGCTCGATCCCCAGTCAGGGGTATGTAGGAGGCAGCCGATCAGTGACTCTGTCTCATCATTGAGGTTTCTCTCTCTCTCTCCCTCTCCCTTCCTCTCTCTGAAATCAATAAAGACATATTTAAAAAAATTAAAAGATGGGCCAGACTAAAACGTTTGGTTGGAAACCAGACATGTAAACCTACCTGCCGGAGGGGTTTCATGATGGTCGGACGGCCTGCTGGGGTGGCTCCTGCCTACTTCGTTCACAGCGATGACCCTGAACTGGTATCTCATGTACGGAACCAAAGGGAGCAGGACCGTGGTCTCCTGGCCGTGGACCGAGGTCAGCTCTGCCCACCTGCCAGGCTCCTCCCTGTTTCCTTCAAACTCTATGACATACTCTGGGGAAAAAACAGCAAATGAGTATGTTTAAGTTACAGGAAGACTTACACACAGGAGTAAAAGTAGTAAAAGTTTTGAAGGAGACTCCACCAGCTTTGAGATGCATTTTGTCGGGAAGGTGAGTAACCGTGGTCCCCAGCTGTCCCTACCACTGATGTTGCTGTTGTGGTTGTCCCCAGCGTCCCACGTCAGCCGGACACTCCTGTTCTGTCGTTCTGACAAGCGGAGGTTTTCTGGGGGATCCGGAACATCTGGTTGAAAACAAAAGGTGCAGGTGAAGAGAACGCAGGCGGTCGCCTCGTTTAGGGGCCCTCACCCACACGTGGCCATCCTCCCGCCTCTCTGGGGCGTGTCCCTCCAGTTCCCTGCTGAAAGGATCATCCCCGCTCCAAGCACAGCTCTCGGGGCCTCTGGCCCTGGCATCGAATTCCTCAGGGCAAGTCACTATCAGTGATGACTCTCGGCCCAACCTGGGCTTGGGGCTCTGACAGAGGGGTAGGCAGAAGAGGAGGTTGGGCACCCTGACCCCACATGCTAGCCATCTCCATTCCTGAGCCCCAGTTCTCTGCACCCTGGGAAAGGGTAGCTTGAGAGCCCCCAGAGCTCAGATGCCTCCGATTTCTTCGTGGACAGCATCACCTGCATCCCACTCTTTACCCACGGAGGGAAAGGAGATGAAGCAGTAATTAACCTCTTTAAAGATTAAATTAAATTAACCTAAAAAGTGAAGTAGTAACATAGTTTCTACTTAACTTTTTAAGTAGTAACACAGTTTTAAGTTGTAACACAGTTTCTACTGTGTTACTACTTAGTACAAACTGTGTTATTACTTAATTGAAAATTTCAAACTAACAACGTATGTGCAGGGGCTCAAGTAACCACCGGCTGAATTTAACCGTAAAAGAGAAGGAACAGAGTCCTGGTCGGGGGGCCGCTTACCGAGCACGGTCACGCGGGTCCCGTCGGCAGCGCTGTCGAGAGCAGTGTGAGCCGAGCAGGAGTAGAGGCCTTGGTCCTCTGCGGTGACGTTGGAGATGGTCAGGTGGGATCCGTCAATGACCACCCTGCGGGGAAGGAAGGACGCGATGCAGAAGAACACAGCACAAGCGACAGAAACACAATCCATTCAAACACGGGCATTCCCCGCTGAAAACCGCCCCAGAAGAGCGAAGCAAAAATACAGAACCAAGTTCATGTGACGCACGCCGTGTGAAAGGGAGCAGTTTTGTTTTGTTTTGTTTTGTTTTTTGGCTAATCCTCACATGAGGATTTTTTTTCCCATTGATTTTTAGAGAGACTAGAAGGAAGGGAGATAAACATCGATGTATGAGAGACACATCAACTGGTTGTCCCCCAAATGTGCCCCCACTGGAGACCAGGGATCGAGCCTGCAACCCAGGTCTGTGCCCTTGACTGGGGATCAAACAAGTGACCCTTCGGTGCACAAATGCCCTAACCACCGAGCAACACCGGCCAGGGCTGTTTTGTTAAGTTTCTAATGACCAAGCCCACCCAGCGCAAGCCTGGCACAGCGATGGGTCCGTGTTGCCCCGTGTGTCTGAGGGGTGCAGGGCCCCTCGCAACAGCCATGGCTGGGGAGCCACCGGGCAGCATCAGCTGGGCTGCGTCTCACAACAGTAGCACCTGTCCCCCAGGACTACGGAGCCGAATGTCCCAGACGGAGTCGGATAATCTCCGTTTCTGACCAGGTTCCCTTTCTCCACCCTCGCCCCCAGGCAGACCACACGGATGTCCAATAGCAGCTGAAGGACGGGATTTATCTGAACAGCAGAGGGCAGACAAGCGCTGCTTTTCGTAAATCCTCTGCACATAGCTTTTGCCATTCCTTCTATTTTTGCTACTTTGTAACCACGTTCACTACATGAAACATTGTTAATGTTAATGTAAACTATAACTTTTACCACACCTGTGTGTTGTTAACATAGCTATTCAAGTATTCTTTTAAATCAAGTTTCTTTACATTTGAAATATACTGACTTTCCCTCTTCCCTTGACATACTGCCCACTATCTGGGGCTGTCCAGCGTCCACCCTCCCTTCCCCCACATTCCCTCAGCTGCATTTTTTCTGTCCCTCTGGACACAGCCTGGAAGGTGCACACGTGTACTTCCCAGGACTTTCTAGCAGGAACAATTTCAGGTGAGATTCAGGTTCTGCCCGTGAGACAGGCCCATGTGGGCTGGGAGGGGAAGGGAAGAGTCACTGTCCCCTCAGCTGCGTGAGCGGAGGGCACCGAGTGGCGAGGGCTGGACTCATAGCAGCACCACTGGGGGGGTGAGATGGAGCGGTTTGCACGCTCACATCGCTCCTGAGCACCAGGTGACTGACTGAGGACCCAGAAGTTCAGGAAGCTGCCCCTTCTCACTTATCTCCTCAGTTGCCCCAAAGGTTTTAGGAGCTCCCAGCAATAAACAAGCCTCAGACACCTGGAGGGACTGCTGTTCACAGCAAACAGGATGGTGCATGTTATACGCAAAGTCAGTCACCAAAACAAGACGACAGACATGTGAGTGAAAAGGCCAGTACCTGCCTGACCTTGGAGCCTGAAACAGATCAGTTCCCGTATCTGAATCCAGTGTTTGCCCCTTTACACTGTTTTCATCCTAAGCCCTCGCCCACCTGCTGTCCTCCGTGCCGTTGACCTCGAAGGCGTCGCCACCTTTGCTCCAGGACAGCCTCAGGCTCTGCTTCAGATGCGAGTCGCACTTGCTCTCGCAGTGCAGCTCCAGGGTGTGCGATCGGGGGACGCGGGGGTCCTTAGGGGAAACCTGAACTTCTGTAGCATCTGTTTGTACCAAACGAAGACACAGGTTACAACGACAGGACACACCTTACTCTGTATCCAAGGCCTGCAATTCAGTCAGGTCCTCTCGCAATGGCTGCAACACTGTAACATCCTAACATCAGCGCCTGTTACTGTTTTCTTTCCATCTGGGCCTGGGCAACAGGCAAAGTTCAAGCAGAAGGAGCCGTGAATAGCTTAGCGATTCCCCTGCGTCCTGGGCTCGGGGAGGAGAGAGCGTGAGCAAACAAATGCCTCTCCGTGTTTAAAAAAAAAACACATAATTTCTCCTTCTAGCGATTCTGGTCACATGATCAAATATGAGCCCAGAAGTAACCCCAGAGCCCAGAAGGAAGCTGCGCACAGCAGGCGCGCAGTCAGCGCGTCCCCCTCACGGGCGCTGACCCTGGCAGAGCAGCTTCCCCTTCACGCAGGCTGGTTTCATGAAGGACACAAAGAATCAAAGGGGCATTTAGAAAATCATACATAACACTTGAAAAGACAGAGAGACATCAGAGAGAAGTGGACATCATAAGAGAATATTTATCTGCTTTAAAAATACTGTCCAGCCCCCAGGGTGGACGTCGGCTAGCTCAGGACAGAGAAAGAAACAGATACTGTGACAAACATGGGACAGGGAAGGAAACGAGGAATGAAAGGAGGAGGGGCGGGGGGTGGAGAGAGAGAGAAACATCAAGTTCTCCATGAAAACAGACGATAAACACATGTCCCATCTTCTGAGCGGTGACAGGTAGGAGGTCACGACAGTGACACGTGACACAGAACATATCCTCAGACACGCACTGTAGGACCTTTCTGTGTTCCTGTAAAGGACTCCAGGAGCAATTTTAAAATCAAAATATTAGTGAAACCTGAGACTATTCATGGCTTCCCTGGACTTTGTACTGAAGGAAAAGAAATACAAAACTGTTCCTGATTCAAAACAAGCACAAGCCCAGCCGGTGTGGCTCAGTTGGCTGAGCTCCATCGCCCCGTGCACCCAGAGGTCGCAGGTTCGATTCCTGCTCAGGGCACGTGCCTGTACTGCAGCTCAATCCCCAGCAGGGGGCGTGCAGGAGGCAGGAGATTGATGTTTCCCTCTCTCTCCCTCTCCCTCCCTCTGTTTCTAAAATCAATAAAAACATTTTTTTTTAATGATGACAAAAGCCTCCCAGCCTGTCATCCCCTGGTCTTCATGAAGCTGAAGTGTCCTTATACATTTATTTGTGGAAGTTTTAACTCAAGGAGTTGATTACTTGTAGCGGCATGTTGAGTTGGTTGTTGAAATACAAGATAGTTACAGAAATACCAAAATAGGGCATTTTCAGATATTGCAGGTCATCCCAAGACCACCGAGCTCCCTCTTAGGTGGTGCAAAGCCTCGTAGCTATCGCCGGCCTGTCCCATAACTCTACGATGGTCTTTTGGACAAAACCCCATCCAGGAGTCTGGGAACATCCTGAAGTACTTTAGGCGGTACTCACACTTAAATCATATTTAATTTGGGAAAATGAAGACGAACAGAACCCATGTGAGAATTCACGAAAAGTCGAAACAAAATAAACCTACTTCGGATATCCAAGCTGGCCGTGACTGCTGATTTCCCTTTAGAGTTTTCCACCCAGCAGGAGTAGGAGCCAGAGTCCTCCTCGGTGGCCCTGCTGACCTGCAGTGTGCCATTCACATGGACGTGGTACCGAGGGCCTTCGAGAGGTTTGGCTTCATCCACCTTCTGCCTGTGGACAGAGAGCACAGGTCAGCGTGGGCTGTGATAGTTGGGTACGCGTGGAGGTCCATCGAGCCTGTCCCTTCCTCGTGAGCTAAGCCGACCTCATGCAATTTCCACTGGGTTCACGTTTCCCTCAATGGGTCACCAGTGACTATCTTATCTGTCCCCACATCCTGTGCCCGGAGGAACTGAGATTCATGCCCCACGCTTCTGGTATATGGGGTGTCCCCCAAAACTGTATACACACTGTAACAGCTGATAGCTCAATTTTGAAAATGAAATGCATTTTAATAAACACTGCCTTTATAATTATTCACAGTGTGTGTATACATTTTGGGGGGACACCCTATATTTCTCCGAGAAATCATTACCACCCTGCACCTGTTCTCAGAGCTGAATAAATGTTTCCTGGCTTCTAGAAGGTGAACTCCCCAGTGAGTGATCACTTCAGAGCTCTACAGAGGAAGCTGGGAATCGAAGGAAATCAAGACCCTCCCCACCTCCTGCTGTGCTGGGAGGACATTAGTCATTAGAGATGTGACAAGCCAGGGGGTTTTCTTGCCCTGTAGACGTGGTTCTGTCTACCCTGTAAACCCCAAGTCATTTCCCTACATTCACCCATCATCTAAGTACCTGCTGCCACAGCTGGTTCATTTCACAACAGGAGGCTGTGGAGCTGACATTTCACAGGACAAGCTGCTGCCCCACCAGGTTTCACTGGGCCCGGGTGATAGGGCTAGGTGAGGGAGGCATGGCCTCCGAGGCAAGGTTTAAGACGGTGCCCAGAATCTCAGTCCTCAAGATCAGTTATGTGTTAGAGGAGTGTTTTTAAAAATCAAAAACAACACATTAAAAATTCATGATGAGCAATATCCCCAGGTTTTAGATAAAGATAGGCTCTTACCCTGCACCTCAGTGGCCCTGCTCCCTGCCCCTTTCTAATCTCAGCCCCTAGAGCAACTAGAGCAACTTGAGAAGACAGGAACCACCCATGTGGGTCAGTGAGGCAACACATGTGTCAGGTCCACGTAACAACACGGTGGACTAGTAACACTGTCAAGAAAGTGAAATTAAATTCAAAACCACATTGGAGAAGTTCTCAGCATGTGTTTGGAATGGAAGGCAAACTCGATAATTATTTAGACATGATCTAGAACAACAATGAAGGAATATCCGACCTTAGACTAGGTACCCAGAGTGGAAACCAACTCTATCTCTAAATTCATTTTCATAATCACTCAATTCTTTGCTTTCCCCAAATCCCTGAGGAAACCCCACAGGGTTGGTCCATGCTTCCAGGGGAAGGCGGTGATTATGGTGCTTCCCTATTTCTCCCAAGTGCTGACTACAGGTAGCAACATAGAAACAGGGCAGAGGAAGAAACAAGGGAAGGCCCACAGCCGACATTTTCTTAAGGAAACATTGTATCGGTTCACCAGGACACCATCGCCTTGGACATTTTCTTAAGGAAACATTGTATCAGCTCACCAGGACACCATCCCCTTGGACATTTTCTTAAGGAAACATTGTATCGGCTCACCAGGACACCATCGGCTCAGGGGAGGCGAAGAACTCGCAGTGCAGGAAAGCACTGGACCCAACCACAGTGGCATAACTCTCTTCATCTTCTGTCTGTATCAGTGGACGGACATCTAATGGAAAATTACATAAATAGTTTTAAACTTTCTCGTAAGAAATAACATGTGCAGATCTTAGCTACTGTAAATTGCGCTGTCATGAACATAGGGGGCGTATATTCTTTCTGATTGGTGTTTCATGATATATTCCCAGAAGTGGGATCACTGGGTCAAAAGGCAGCTCCATTTTTAATTTTTTGAGGCTCCTCCACACTGTTTTCCACAGTGGCCGCCCCAGTCTGCATTCCCACCAGCAGTACACGAGGGTTCCCCTTTCTCTGCATCCTCGCCAACACTTGTTTGTTGATTTATTGATGGCAGCCATTCTGGCAGGTGTGAGGTGATATCTCATTGTGGTTTTAATTTGGGGGAAATGGGGAATATCTGTAATACTCTCAACAATAAATATAAATTAAAATATAAATAAATGAATAAAAAAGAAATAACATGTGCAAATTTTAATATTCTCTATATAGCCACACAAATGTTATAAGAGTGGGAGAGAGCTGAATATTACAGTCCGTGTTCTTGAATTAGAAGACTATCCTAATTCAAAACACTTCTGAAAGTATAATTTTAGCATAAAGTCTAACACCCAAAGGTGAGATGGAAGGGGCTCTGGTCGCCCCGTGTTTTATGTGTGAATAGTTCAATGTGCCAATGAGTGTGACCTTGACCCCTGTCCCGTGGACCATGGCTGGTGGACAGTCTGCTCTGGGGGATGCTCACCAACGACATCGATGTTGGCATTGGCCAGGATGGTCCCGTGCACGTTGGAGGCCTCGCACTGGTACACGGCTGTGTGGTTGGGCTGCAAGTCTGTGAAGCTGACCTCCCCGGGGGAGATGACGTCCCCGGCAAATGGGTTTTCTGCAGATTAGAGAACATCAGTTTGATAAAAAATAGGACCTAAAATATTTATATACCGTCTATCAAACGTGTCACACAGCATTTATATTTTAAGACCAGTTTAGGGTGAGTAATAGTTCATTGCAACTAATTCTTTAGACTCTCCTCACATCCCCAAGAATTTTCTTTCCGGACCCTTGTGCAGCTTCAGTGTTCCCTGAAACGGGTATTTATTGTCAAAATACCAGCTTCCTCTGGCTCACTGCCTCTCCATAGCCACACCCAGGAGTGAGATTCCAGTTTTCTGTTTAGCAGGCAAATCTCACTATGAACCGGATGTCACTTCCTTTGTAAATCCAGGTCCTGGTACTGCCCAGCAAAAGGCTCACGTTAACCCTGCCTGGTGCCCACCCTCCAGCACTGGCAGTTGTCCCGACCCCATCCCTCTACCTCCTTCCTCTGCCCTCTTTTCTAACACACACCGCTCGTCTAAGGAGTCCTGTTTGCTGTTTAACCCCTTTAGGTACATGGTGTATATATTTCATTTCCCTTTCTGGAGAGGTTAGAAAACAGGGAAAAGGGCCCAGGTATGCCCTTTAATTTTGCATTAAATTCTGCCTCACTCCTGACCCAGGTATGATTCTGGAAATACCTTTTGGGAATGACAATATTTAACACTTTGGTGCATTTATTAGGGACCAAAGGCACCTGTGGGTGTGGCACAGGGGCTGTCTCATTAACTCTGCTCAGAACACGACCCAAGTGGGTGATGGACCCTCCCTGAGCCTCAGTTGCCACATCTGCAAACCTGAGAATGAAAGACTTCCTTTGCCGGGCTTGTTACGAGGTCAGGAGTATTGGATAAAAAGCACGTAGAGAAGGCGAGGCTGGCCAGCAGAAATAGCAATCATTTTGACTTAATGGAGAAATATGATGGATAGAGGATCCGCAACCCCAGAACCATGAGCTCAGAGAGATTTCAGAGCCTCCGGTTCAGATCAAACACCGGGCCTGGGAGCCCAGCTGACCTGCCTGCGGGCAGGTGTGGGAGGGGGCCAGGCCCACGTTCCAAGGCCAGGGCTTTGGTCCCAGGGCCCCAGGCCCACATTCCAAGGCCGGGCTTTGGTCCCAGGGCGGATTGCTATCTGGCATGCCTGTACGTGCAGCCTCGGCCTCCCTGTCCATCCGCACACCCGCTGGCCCAGGCACCTCCCAGCTCCAAGCTGACAAAGCCCAGGGTCTGACCAGGAACCTCCCCAGAGGGCTGGGCCTTCAGGGGCCCTCACCACCAGGGTTTGACTTACCCTCAATCGGGAGGCCATTGACTCGCCACCGGATGGCGGGCTCGGGCTCGCCTTCTGCCTCGCACAGCAAGATGCCGCTGGCCCCCGTGCTGTACACGCCACTCTGGGGTTTCTTCGTCCAGTGAGGGGGCTCTGGGGACAAAGTCAGGGGCTCCTCAGAGACTTAGCCACATGGGAGGGGCCACGGACGGCAGGGCCTGCAGTTCCACGACCCACCAGCAGGTGGCAGACAGAGCAGGGCTCAGGGCTCTTTGCTGGGTGTTCCGAGGCCAGGTGTGCGTGTGCGTGTGCGTGCATGTGTGTGCATGCATGTGCTTGTGTGTGTGCGTGTGTGTATGTGCATGCATGTGTATGTGCGCCTGCGAGTGTGTGTGCATGCATGTGCTTGTGTGTGTGCGTGTGCGTATGTGCATGCATGTGCATGTGCGCCTGCGAGTGTGTGTGCATGCATGTGCTTGTGTGTGCACCCAACCGTGTGTTCTCATTTGGACTTTCAGCGTGGATAAGAAATTCAACGTACTAGAAACAGTTATCTACAATCACTCTCTCACTGCACAGTATTTATCTCAGTAACAGAAAACGGAGGACCGGGCCGATGGTATGTTCACTTAGTGCTGCCTGCAGCTTATTTTCAAGTAGCAGCAGGGAATTTAAAAATGCTGATAATGAAAAACATTTTTAAATAAAATTAACATGTTCAGCATTCCTTGTAAATACTTCTTAATAAATGGCCTTACAGAATTTTATACCTGTATCTCTACCCGTCTATTTATCTAGGGAAAAAATTGAGAAGCATTATTTCCTAGAGGGAGTGTTTTGCAAAAGGGGGAGGGAACCTAAAAGCCATGTTTAGCTGTCTGCCCTCCAAGCAATGGAGGAAAAGACGTATTTCAGTTCCTTGCATCTCCCACGCCTGCCTCGTGCCCCAGCACTGGAACTCTTAGTGGAGCTCGGTGCAGAACCAGACGTGTTCCTTCAGTACAAACACGCCCGCCGTGTTTTGTCACCTTAAGTACATCACCGTGTCAGGAGCAAACCAAAGATTAGATGAAAATGTGGAAGGTTTGGATAATCTGGTTTCTGAGAAAATTGCACAGTCCCTGCAGGTAGTAACTCCCGTCAACTGTCGCGGGGTTATTTCCCCCAAGACGCTGTCAATTTCCATTTTAGTCAAAAAAGGAAAGTCTTTAAAGTACACAGATATGTAACCATCACTTTAAAGTAAAGGAGTAAAAACAGATTAGATGAAAAGGAAATGCCTGTAGATTTTCCAGGAAAACCAAAAATATACAAACAATCCCAGCAAGTTCAAGTCCAAGCAAGAGCAGTGACTTACCTGGTAAACCCCACCTTAAATATCCGTTTCCATAACCTACTGAAAGGAGCCCACAGGATGGTCCAGAATTAAGACTTTCTAACTGAAAAAGGGTCGTGGCCGACAGTCCTGTCCCCGGCCTGCAGCTCCCCCGACAAAGGCCAGTCTTTACCTTCCCTGAGCCCGTCTATTGTCTTTTCACATCCAGGACACCAGGCCTTTGGGGCGTCGGGGTAACTGCCTTTTCCAGGCCCCAGCGCACAGCCTCCCTCCAGGACACGGACCACAGGGCCCCATGTTCTCTCGTTCCTTGGGCACCGCCTCCACGTGTCTGACCGAGAGGTTTCCCCGCGGTGCCTTCTCCCGCCTCCCTAATCCATCCCCGGGGACTTCGCGTGACCCCCTTGGACTCCTCCTTCGACTGTAATGGACGAAACAAGGGGCAAAACCCTCGTTCTCCGGAGCCTTTTCTCAACCCATTGAGATTTTCCTTCCCAGCAACGGTCGTGAGTTTGGCTCAAATAAACTAAAAAAAATTCCTGTGGAGCAGGTGCAGATGCCTCTTACGTTGACATAATACGTATACTACGTAATAAATAACGTAATTGCATGTACTCATATATCGCTGTGTTTGCCGTGTGTTAATTTATATGCGCGACGCATCTCCTTTACCAAGCACGCGGTGCTTACGTTGTGGGCATCTGGACAGAATGCTTTTGCCCACTCAACACCCTGGCTGTTGTTGCTTCTTCTACATATTACGGGACTCGAAAATGCAGTTTGTTTCCATATTTAGGCTGCGCGGCTTCGGACACAGAGTCCGCCTGTGTTCGGGATAAAGAAGGATCTCACAGGGAGCGGGCGCCACACAGCGCCAGCTCTGACTCCGCACAATGGGGCTTTGAGAGTGGACTAGAATTTCAAAGTTCACGGCGGCCCTCCCCCTGCCCGCGTGGCCAATCCGCTCATTTAATTTGAGTTTCTCAGCAAGAGACAAAAGGAGGGAAAGAGGAAGGTCCAGGAAGGCAGGAGGAAGTCGGATGAAAGCGGCCCGGCCGGCCCGTGTGACTGATGAAGGTCGTATGTATGAGGCTTCCGCACTTAGGGGGAAGGGGCCCGCGGCCGGCGGCCACGCGGTGGCGATGGTGCATCCGCGAGGGGCAACCCGAAAACAGCCAGGGCGCCGCCAGCGTTCCTCATCAGGGCGAGTATTAAGTGCCCCTAAAAAACCACTCTGCCTCTCGATGGCCCTAACGGCTGTGAATGAGCAGCGGGGACAGTCTGTCCCGGAGACGCGCGCCTCCTGGGGCTGAGTCAACAGCCCGAGCTGAATAATTTATTCTACCTCCTTGACTTTTGTTTTTTGGGGGTTTTTTTTGCAACCCTTGCAATTCTTTTGAAAGCTTGTCTTCCAGTCAAGGAACCGTGGCCAGATTGTTAAAATATTCAGCTCCCGCAGCAAGGCTCCGGCCATCTGGAGGGTTTCCAGTCGTCAGCAGCTCGGAGCCGGGCGGCCGGCAATTAGCGGGTCCGGGTCCTGGGTGGTGCGTGTGCTGGGCGGAGGCGGGGGATTCGGAAACAAGGCCCTGCCGCCCGGAGCAGCCAAACCATGTAGAACCTCGAGGAGGACTGACATTGTAGGGACCGCACCCCCCAGACCCTTCCTCCCATTTCCTCGGGAGTGATGTACGGTCCCCGGGACACAGCCCGTGTTCCCGTCTGTGCACAGCCCCGGCTTCTCCCGTCTGGTTTCCCGATGTTGGGCAGGGACCTGATTTCCCACCTCCGGGCCCGCGCCCCCCTCACCCAGCGAGTCACACTGCGGGACGGGCCTCGGGAACTCGGGGTTACTGCCAACGGCAGGGCTGGAACAGCCGTGCTGACATTGGTCTGTGGGTGCAATTAGCGTCTGAGTCTATTTTTTCCACTTGAGGGGGTGGTGGCCTGACACAGGTGTCCCTTGTGCGGACGGGGGCTTGAATATAAAGGGAAGCCCTGGAGGCCAGTCCCTGAGCCGAACCCTAAGAGGGACAAGGCCCTCAGCACCAGCCCCCACGAGGCTCATAAGGACAGACCCGGGAACCGTCCCGCCGACGCGGCCAACAGCCAGCCAACCGCGCGGGAGACCTCAGTGTGGTCAGGCCGGGGAGCGGCCTGTGTCGCTCGGACTCCCAGGCAAGACGAGGGAGCCTTTAGGTCTCCCGGCAGGCACACCCCAAGCTCTGCATCCTGGGGCCCCGGTTTTAACAGGTGGCATCGCTAACCACTTATTTCTATAATACCCCAGACCACAGCCCCCCCGCTCCTGACCGAAAGGCCTGGGGTCACGGAGGGAGAACCCAAACATCGTGTGCTCTTGCGCCTTTCGATAGAGAATTAATCTCCATACCACAGAGTCTATTATTGTTTCCCCGAAACTAACAGAGTGACTATCCCCTGGACCCGAGAGGCTCGATTCCCGCCGGGGCACAGGCCGGGGCTGTAGCCCGATCCCCGGGGGGCGCAGGAGGCGGCGGATCCATGACTCTCATCACTGACGTTTCTCTCTCCCTCTCCCTTCCTCTGAGATCAATAAAAGCGTGTTTTTTAAAAAGTGGGACCAGCTTCCTGCTTTGGCTCACGTTACAGGTGTAGGTGCGTCGTGCGGCTCGAGTCACATTTCCGCCGGACAGGAGGGTGAGTGAGGGTGGGTGGCCACCGTACCTTCTACCGTGACGTGGAAATCATGGACGGCGGAGCCCAGGAAGTTGTGGGCCCGGCAGCGGTAACGGCCTCCGTCCTGGTAGGAGACTCTCTCCACCGTCAGCGTCTTCCCGTGACTGTCTCCAGTTTCTCTGCCTTTGGGTAAATCTCCTCCCACTTTTTCCCAGTCGACCTGTGGAGTTGGCCTGAAAAACAATAAACGAATGATAAACGTTCTTAAAAGTGCAAAAGGAAACCGGGAGAACCCGAGGGCACACGCCCCGCATCTCGTTGCTGTCTGGTCCCTGGAGCCCGACTGAGGGACGTCTGTCTGCGCTCCGGGGGCGCTGACCCGCCGTCTCCCCCCAGACTCCTCCCTCTCCTGCGAACAGGACTCGCTCCAGGTAAGTGCTGGGCGCCTGGGTGCGGCTAGAGGTGGACGGATAACCTGAGCCTAGAAACACGGCAAGATGGGTTCCGAGCGTGAGCCCTCCCCGTGGGGATTTGAAGTGCAGGAAACAGCAGCCCCCGTCCCGGCAGGAGACTGAAAATCGAGGTGATGGAGAACCCGCGGCCAGCAGAGCAAGGCCCTAGGCCCCTGTATCCAAGGAGCCGATGCTCGAGAAGGGGCTCCGGGGAGAGAGCCAGGGTGTTGGGGCCCAGGGGGCCCAGGGTGGGGCAGGCGTGTCCGCAGCCCAGGGCGGGGTACCCAGCGTCTCCCTCGCTGCCAGGAGGGGAGGAGGGGGGAAGGGGCCCCACCTCCCTGGTCTCCAAAGATCAGAGCACCAACCAGGACGGACACGCAAGCCGGCAAAACCAAACAAAAACCAAGTGGATGACGTCTCCCTCGCTAGGGTTCTCTCCCCATCCCAGTAAGACCTCGGATCTGACCCTGACGTTCCTTCAACCTTGCGCGTTACATTGGCGCCCCTCGTATCACTCCCGGTGTGTTCTGGGAATCCGTGCGCTTAGCCAAAGCAATTAGCTATTGATTAATAACCGAACAACTAACTCACAGTGTTCGCGTCAACCGTCTCTAACTGCACCGACAGCCAATGGTTAAAATGACTGGCTGTTGTGCCAGAAGACACCGGAGGTGAAGAGGACGGTGCTTTAATCTCCTCGCACCCCGGGCGTCCCCTCCCCCGGCTCAGGCTCCCACCTGCCTGCTGACCCGACGCCCTGGCGGACACTGGGCCAGGCTGGGGGCACGTGGCCCACGGCCGAGCGCGCGCCCCTAACAGGTGCTCCCCCAGGTCTCAGGGGGGCCTGTTTCTCACCCCATCTGTCACCAGGGCGACCTGCCAAACCGCAGGCTGCCCTGGACCCGGCTCCCCCGCGCTGGTTTCCACGAGGCTTTCTCAGTGGGGCCTTCGCTTCCTGCAAGATCCCCTCCCGCCCGTCCTTGAAAATTTGAAAATTAGTCTAATCCTCGGAAGAACGGAATGAAACGACTGTCAGGCGGTCCTGCGACACCGACACCGCTCCCCAGGGGCGCGTCCAGCCACATTCTTGATGGTGCTTTTCTCTCTCTCTTCCATTTAATTTAAGGAAGACTTGCCAACAGCGCTTGAGCGATGAAGGTTTGTGGGCAGAGGTGTTGCTAATCTCTAATTCCGCGAGAAGGTGAAAGTCTCTGGTTGGGCACCCGTGTCCCCGTGAAGTCCCCGTGTCAATAAACCGCATTTCCCTTGTCACCCCCGCGCGTGGAGATGTCCCCCACATCGTCCCCGGCTCAGAGGCCGTGCCAGCCCGCGGTCGCCCTCGGCGGTGCAGAGCAGCTCCTCTGGCTGAAATGAGCTGACGTGAGTTAAACGTCCGCTGGTGCAGGTCCAGGAGCCCGGGGTCCAGGTCTCAGGGGGGCTCCGCCCACCTCACCTGCCAGGGGCAGGAAGAAATCTCGCCCGGGCGTGCGGCGTGCGAGACACGTGCCTGACACGCGGGACAGGGGGGTGTCTGAGCGGTAATTAGCCTGTTGTGCAGAGGGCGTGGTTTAAAGACGCCTGAGATAAACACGTAACGTGCTGTAAAATTCCTACCGTGTCCCCTTCATCTTAAACAGGACCAGACAGGGTCCCCAGCACACACCCAGAGCCGGGAACAGGGGTCCAGTCAGGGGAGTGGGTTACTCAGAAAACGCAACGATTTCAAGGTGTGTGCGGTGACTCTGGGTGGTGGGCACACAGTGCAGCCTCCGGATCATGCATCACAGAGACATACACCTGTGACCTCTATGGTCTTATTAACCAAGGTCACCTCAGAAACTTAATTAGGGAAAAAAAGAGAGAGACATGTGACCAAGTGAGGGAGCCTCACGCTTTCCTTGGGGAATTTGGAAACGTGCATTTTGTTTTCAGATAAAATCCAGGTAATTGTGTTTTCATATCAAACTCTCTTAAATTGCACGGACGGGCCCTCCTGTGTGCCTCAGGCCGCGGAGAACATAAGAGGGAGACGGGGCAGCTGGGAGCCCAACCCGGGGACAGAGCTCACGGCCCAGCCAGCAGGGCTGGCCCAGGTCCAGCAGGGGGGCCGGGACGCGGCCCGGCCTCCGAGGGCCGCGGGCTGGAAGGGCGGCCCCGCTGTCACCTCCGTCCACACGCTCACACAGGGACAGGGCGAGCTGTAGACCAACCCCAGCCCCGCCTGAAGGCTGCAGAGTGAATGGAAACTACTTCCTCCCGAGAAGTCACGCTTATTCAAAAAAGAAATGGTTGGAAAGGCCGTGTGCGGGCACACCCAACAGGTGCCTCATTCGTTATCCCGGGCTGCAGGGACCCTCGAGGCTGGATGGACACAGGGCTGACAGACAGGCGGACAGGGCAGGTACTCACAGGCCTTCGGCGAAGCACTCCAGCACCAGCGTGTCCCCTTTGAGGATGGTGACCGAGGACTCGGAGCCCTCGGCAGCGGGAGGCAGCAGCAGTCTGGGTTTTCTCTGCTTGATGGAATTTGCTGAACAGAAAAGAAAAATCTCATATTTATCTCAAACAGAGAGTTTACATCCTGTGGCTCTAAATCAGACAACCCTGTGGCCTTATGTGTGTGAGTGCGTGAGTGTGTGTGTGTGTGAGTGTGACTGTGACTGTGTGAGTGCGAATGTGTGTGTGTGTGACTGTGTGAGTGTGTGTATGTATGTGTGTGTGTGACTGTGAATGTGAATGTGTGTGGCTGTGAATGTGTGTGTGTGAGTGTGACTGTGTGAGTTAATGTGTGAGTGTGAGTGTATGTATGTGTGTGCGTGTGACTGTGTGTATGTGTGTGTATGTATGTGTGAGTGTGACTGTGTGTGTGAATGTGAGTGTGTGAATGTGTGTGAGTGTGTGTGTGTGTGACTGTGTATGTATGTGTGTGTGTGAATGTATGTATGTGTGTGTGTATGTATGTGTGAGTGTGTGTGTGTATGTGTGTGTGTGTGTGTGTATGTATGTATGTGTGAGTGAGTGTGTGTGTAGTCACAGACACGCTCCCCACATTCGAGCACATCTCCAGTTACACACCCTCCCGCCACACGGCCGGGGAGTCACGGGGGAGGCAGAGTCTCAGGAAGCCTGTCGTTACCACACCTCCGAGTCCCGATCCAGCCGTCAACCAAAACATGGACAATGAAAGACCTTGGGGAGACCCCAAATGAAGGCTCCGTTAAAAGCATGTAGCTTTACTATGTGTATCTATGTATCTGTGTATGTTAATTATATTATCTCTAAACGTGTGGTTATATTTATATAGTTATGCATTTATAAAGATCACCCCTCTGCACAAATTTAAGGGGGGAATAGAAACCTCTATGCTCAGGGATCTTCCTTAACATGAATATTAGTATTTTAATAAACTCACAAAGACATAAAAAGAAAACTCCAGATTCTGAGATGGGAATGAGCTGCTGACTCTGAGAGAGCTGCCAGCCCTCTACGCAGGATCGACTTACCCCGGGAACGGGTTTCTGTGGGTGAACTCGAGTCATTAGCATGCTTTACTGAAATGAAAAGATGGAAGAAAAACTCACAAACACAATGGTGGATGCTGATGCCAACAAAGAATGAAGAGTCACAGTTTTTCCTTAGAAAAATTACAAAGCGAGGCACAGCCAGGCTTCGCTAGGACATCGCCTTAGGGAAGGAGTTGAGGAAATACTGACACGGAGGGAGCTTGACCTTGAACGCCGCAGGTGGATCCAGGTGGGGAGGGTACCAGGACACTCGGGAAGGGGGCAGAGGCTGCCGGGAGGCTCCAGGGGAGCCTGGCTCCGTGCATCACACATGACGATGAAAAAAGTCACCGACCGCATCAGACAACGGGACGGCCACGCCGGCTGCTCGCCCCAGGGCCAGCGATCCCTCCTGTGCGTCTACGGGCCGTCTCCCCAGGACGCTTTCCCATTTGGGCACCGGGACTCCAGCAGGGGAGGGAAGCAGTTCAAATAATGATGTCGGTTTTGGAAAGACAGGAAAACTCATGTGATAAAAGTTACAGCCCTGGCTCTGTGGCTCAGAGGTTAGAGCACCAGCCAGAGCATCAAAGGCCTGAGAGCTCGACTCCCGGTCCAGGGCGCAGGCTGCGGGCTCGCTCTCCACTGTGGGCCCGGGTGTGTTTGGGAGGCAACCGGCAGGTGCGTCTCTCACATTGAGGCTTCTCTACCCCCGCTTCCACTCTCTCTGAAAAAAAAACACCCTCAGGCAACGATTAACAAAAATAAAAGTGTAACATTGCCCCTGTTATTTTCTCCGATGTTATCCTGCTGACTTATCCCGTGACCCAGAGCCGGGAACCTGCGTGGGAAGCGGGGGAAGAGCCTGTGCATCTCGCCCACCGGCCTGGTTTCCTGGCTGCTGGAGGGAGCCCGGGAGCCGCCGGGGCAGGCGCCTCTCGTCTGGGTCACGACTCCGGAGCTGAGCTGAGCTGAGCGACGCCGGGAAATCCCGTCCCAGCTCCCGGGGCGCCGGCCAGAGGGCACTGCAGACACACCGGCGTGGGGCATTCGCGACGGAGCCGCACATTACTTGGACTTACAGCTGTTAACGGTCAGTTTCATCGGCATCTTCTGCACGATCGTCCTCAACCTCGGGAAGGCGGCGAAGCAACAGTAGTCGTTCCGACTGTCGTTTTCCTCAACGTTTGCAAAGTACAGGTCCCCCTGCTGGCTCATGTGCACCCTCTCGTCTTGCTGGATGTGCTGCAGCTCTGCAAAGAAACGCCGTCCTTAGCGGAGGCGTCCTGCCCGGCCCGCGCGGCCCAGCGGTTGAGGGTCAGCCTGGGATCCAGGAGATCGGGGTTCGATTCCCGGTCGGGGCACAGGCCCGGGTTGCGGGCCCGATCCCCAGTCGGGGGCATGCGGGAGGCAGCCGATCAGTGACTCTCGTCAGTGATGTTTCTCTCTCTCCCTCTCCCTTCCTCTCTCTGAAATCAATGAAGACATGTTTAAAAAATAATAGCAGTAATAAAATAAAATTTTAAAAATACATATTTTTTAAAAGGGGGGCGGCAACGGTCCTTATTTGTCTCATCTCCCTTTTCAGCTTCTTTGTTTTCCATTATTTCACTTCATTTCATTTTCCACGTATGTTCCTCCCGGTTTTCTCACTCCTGCTCTGACGACAGGAGCAGCAAGTAAGGGGAAGAAAAAACAGAATCCGACAAGGCCCAGGGGAAGCACGATCCTCACCATGAACCAGAGCCGTCCTCCGGTGGACACCCCCCCTTTCTCCCTCTCCCCCCCGATCCTCCGGTGGGCAC